CGCCTCAGGGCCGAGCACGCCTAGAAAGGGCTCCGTAGCGGGAGCAGCTACAGCTTTCCAACTCTTCAAGGCTGCTTGGTGTGAAGTGAAGAAGACGGGGACCTGTCTCAGGGTTTGACTCCCCAGCCCCTCTACTCTCTCCTGACTCCCATTCGAAGCCTCTGTCGAAGTGGTCCTGGCTCTGGGCCCCTCCCACCGCCACGGGGCTGCACAAAGTGCACTCACCAGGGGGCTTTGCAAGTTCATGGAAAATGAGTATGGTGGGAAAACGACGCACAGATCTCAAATTTTTTTGTACCAAAATCAACCTGACTCTCTTTCTTTCCTTTCCTTTCTTCCTTTCTTTCTAAAAATTGTCAGCGTGCACACGCTCAGCAGAGAGAGAGGAGAAACTTCCAGCAGGGCGTGTTCACACTTCTGAAAACCCTTCCTCCCACCTCTCCATCCTGTCTGGACTTTGGACACGCACACTACCCAGTATGCTTTTCTAGCCTCTGAGGCTGAGACTCAAACCACGATTGGCCGTAAGGGACCAGCTTCCTTCACCACTAGGCTACAGGCCGGCCCTAAACTTACCGTCATTCTGTTTTCCATGAACCATCTGAAGTCCCCTTTATTTATTTATTTATTTTTTGGAGAGATTTTTGCTATAGGGCACGTGCGCTCGCCAGACAGACAGAGAGAGACAGAGAGACAGAAAGCGAGAAATCACCCCCCAGGGGGGTTAGTCACTCCACAATCCCTTCTCCTCCATTCTCTCGGGATGAGTTTTAAACTACCGGGTCTGGGACACGAACCGTGGACTACGTGGGAGTCCAGCGACATAGCCACCACGCTAACTGCTGGTTCCCAACTGAAGTCCCCTTTATATGGGAAGACCGAGGTCAAGGGTCAGGGTTTGATGAAGCATTTCTAGAAATGGATTTTGGCAGTTTGCAATTACTGCAAACATCCTTCCAGGTCAGTAGCTTGAAAGGCTCAGTCCGAGAATGGCACCGGTAATCACTTTTGTTGATGTGCCCCGCCTGCCCAGTGCTTGGCAATGTCCCTTTACATGCACACAGTAACCCTGAAAAGCAGGTGACAGGACGAAACCCGTGTGAGGTCATGCAGCTTACAGGCAAGGAGCTGGGCTGGAGGCCAGGTGTGCCGGCTCTGAGCGAGGCTCTGGCGCCCGGCCTCACCTTTGTCTTTCTCACCCTGCAGGGCTGCAGGACAACCCCTGGGTGTGTGACTGCCGACTCTATGACCTGGTTCGCCTCCTGGACGGGTGGGTCCCAAACTTGGCCTTCATTGAGGTCAGGCTGAAGTGTGCCAGCCCGCATAGCCTGGCCGGTGTGGCCTTGGGACAGCTGGAACTGAGGAAGTGCCAGAGCCCAGAGCTCCAACCCGGAGCGACTAGTGTCAAGTCCCCTTCGGGCAGTGCAGTACTGCTGCGCTGTGGAGCCTCCGGAGTCCCTGGGCCCGAGATGAGGTGGAAGAGGGCCGACGGAAGCCCACTCAATGGCACAGGTTTGTGTGCTGGGGTCAGCTGAGCCTAGAGAGCCAGGCTGGGGTAGGCTTGGTCCCAGGGAGGAGTGGGTGTGGCCCCATAAGGGAGTGGGCGGGGTCCCAGAGGGGGAGTGGGTGTGGCCCCAAAAGGGAGTGGGTGGGGCCAGAGGGAGGGTCTGAGCAAGGTGGGTCCCTGTTGTCCACGTGGGACAGTGCCCCTGAGCAATGTCAGGCCCTGGAGAGGGCTCTAGAACTGCCGGCTTAGCCCAGCCTCCCTGTCTCAGACTCGCCCCCCCCCCCAGAAAAACCCCCGGGGCCTTTTTGGTAGGCGCC